CCCGCGCCAGCGACAAGTCGGGCTCCTGCCCAGTGAGGAGCTGGTACGGCGTCGTCCCCGCGGGCAGCGAAGACCGCTCTAGGCAGTTGCGAACCCAGACGGCCTGCCGCAGAGCGAGATGCCACCAGTGGTGCTGCACGCCCATGTGCAGCAGCATCGTCCGCACCGACTCCACCACCGTCCTCATCTCCTGCTCCGCCATGCCATTCTGTTGCGAGGTGTAAGGGCAGGTCAAGTCGTGAACGATTCCCTTGCTGTCCACGAAGGCGGTGAAGTCCTTTCCGAGGAACTCCCCTCCGCGGTCAGAACGCAGTTGCAGCACCGGATGCTTCGCCTGCCGCTCCACCAGCACCAGCCACTTCTGGAACTCCAGCAGCACGTCCGACATCTTGGCGACCGGCCTCACCCACACATAGCGGGTCTTGCGGTCCTTCAGCAGCAAGAAGTACAGGCTGCCGTCCTTAGCAGCCACGCAAAATGGCCCGCACAAATCGATGTGCACGACGACCAGGACGTTGTCGGCTTCGGAGCCGTGGTCGGGGAAGGTATGCCGTGCCAGCTTCCCGCCGACGCACGAAACACACGGTGAGTCAGCGCCAGACACCGACTTGAGGTCCAGCCCAGTGGCGACCTCGTGCTTTGCCGAGCTCCGTATGGTGTCCATGCCAACATGCGCTAGCCTCGCGTGCAGCCTGTCCAGGGTTGCCTTCGTCGCCGAGACGATCGTACGCAAAGCTACCTCCTCTTTCGCGGGTGTCGTCGACTTTACCGCGCATGGGCGCAGGTCAGTGCAGAGGACCTGGCCGGTGTATGTCGCGCGACCAAGCACGTCCCCCGCCGGGGAGACGAGCAACATCCGGTCGCCGTCGTCCCTCAGCGTCACCCCGCTCTCCTTCAGCTGGCCGGCCGAAAGCAGATTCGCCTGCACGCCCGGGACGTAAAGAACGTCGGAGATGAGCACTCGCTTCCCGGCCTCCCCTTGCAGCGCAACTGTGCCATGGCCGCGAACGTCCTGCAGCGCCCCATTGAAGCCACGCACGTGCTTCACGTCACCGCTCGATCCCAAGTCGACGAAGGCATCCTTCGTCCCCATCAGGTGGTGCGAGCAGCCGCTGTCGAGCAGGACCACCGCGGGGTTCGCTTGCACAGCTGCCGCCACCGCTTGGAAATCCTCGCCTGCCTCTGGCGCCAGCGAGACGGTCGGCCCCACGATACCGACCAGCGAGCACGACGCCTCCTTGTCGCCTCGCCCTTTGCCACCCGCGGAAGAGTCGGCGTCCTTCGCCGAGGTCGACTTCGTCGGCTGCTTCTCTTTTCACGGCTGGTTTCCTCGACGCGGACGACGGCTGCCAGACCTCCGGCGGCCTCCCTTGGTTTCGTCGTCGTCCGTGTCACTGTGGTCGGGACATTCGAAGGAGAGGTGATCAGGATCGCCACACAACCAGCATTCCCGTCGTCGACCTCCTCCTCCACGACTGCCCTCCTTGGCCGACTTCTGCTTGTCAGCATCCTTCGCCGGCTTCCCGCCACCGCGATGACTGCCATCAGACTGCCCGCGCTGTCCCGGTCGACCACCTTGCTTCGCGGGGGCGACGAAATTCACTTGCGTGAGGAGCTCCTGGGACCGCTCAGCCACCTGCATCGCCTCGTCTTGCAGGATGTACAAGGTCAATGTGTCCTCGTTGAGCGTCGTCCGCGTGCTCGGCGCCATCGACAGCCGCTTCAGCAGGTTGTAGCTGCTCGGGAGTCCTTGCATGACGTGTGTGACACACGAAGCCGTCGATTATTCCGCGCCAGCCATCCGAATGGTGGCGAGAATTCGCCGAGCTCGGTTGCAGTAGTCAGTCGCGGTCTCCTCGTCGCCCATACGCAGGGACGTCAACTGCCCCTCAAGTTGGGCGATGAACAAGTCGTCGGTGACCTGGTAAGTTGACTCGATAAAATGCCATGCCCGGTGGCCAGCGTCGAGGTACTCCCTGTACGACTTCAGGGCGATCTGTACGCCTGGCGAACAGCACCGCGAAATGACCGTAAATGTCAGGAACTACACGGCGCAAAATTCCGCTCGCAGGTCGGGGTAGTGCTCCTCCGACGTCGCCACGGTCCCGCGGGCGAAGCCCATGAGCCCGGCCATCCAAGCTGGGGCTCGATGGCTTCCTTCCACGTTAGGATGTCAGGACGACCGACCAGCGGAGGAGGGACCAAGATCCTGTCCGGCGTAAACTCGAAGTTTGGCGCAATTCCTCCCGCTGTCACGTGAGTCGCCGACATCGGCGCCAATTCACTTCGTCTGCCTCCGACGTAGTTTTGCGGGGCCCCTGTAGCCTCCGATGACTGCATCCCTCGTGCCTGAACGTCGGCGACTTCATCGGCGTGAATCACACCTCGCTGCCTCGACGTGCCTCCCGCGCTGCTACCGACTTGGTCACCCGCGGCGTTGACTCCCGCGTCAACGCCGTCTGCGTTGTTCACCGGTCGAGGAGATGTAGGCCGAGAAGGGGGGTGCTCCGCCGCCCACAAGGCGCGGATGCCAGCCTCGACCACCGTCAGCGGGAGAGTTCCGTACTCGTTCGCCGCATGACGTCTCCTCGCGTTCTCCAGCCGTGCTTCCAAGGTGTCCACGATACCCGCCTCTACTACGGGGTCCACCATGGCGTCTAACACAGCAGCCGGTCTACGAACAAACTAGGTGAGTGAGAAGTCAGCTAAACCGAAGGTTTCTTCGCGGTGTTGTCCACGTTCACCGCACCATGCGGAGATAACTAGTGCAACGGGAGCTAGACTACAGGCCAGGCACGGATGCTCGTGTGATCTCTGCGTTCGTTCGTTCCTTAGTCGTTTCCAAGTGCTAACACTGCTTGCTAATTCATGGGGAAAATTGGCAAGAGTTTCACTAGGAGAAATATCACAACAAAAGTTCAGAATGATTGCATCAACATTGGCAACACATACTACATCAGACCTAGCAAGGCTGCTGGTCGACTGCCAGCGCAGCACGGTTGACCGCATGCCAGCACGACTTGGTCGACCGCGCTCCAGCAGAGCAGAGTCGTGGCTTGCCAACGTTGCCCGTCCGCGGTGTGCCAACGCTGCAGTAGGTCGGCTGCACAGCGATGCATCCGTGGGACAGCGGTGCACCAGCTTCGCAGGTGTGTGCAGCTGGTTGGCGTCCAATCCCCCGTCACATGCCCAGCGCAGACACTCCACGCGTGACGGCGCCCACCAGCCACGTCGACCTCGGGAAACCACCCCCGAGATCGTACTCGCAGAAAAACACCCCCGGCGACATTCACGCGCGTCGCCCGGATATCTTGGTTGACCGGGTATTTCGCGGTCCTCCCGCGATTTCGCGGCCACCGCGGTCCTCCCGCGATTTCGCGGCCACCGCGGTCCTCCCGCGATTTTGCGGCCACCGCGGTCCTCCCACGATTTCACGGCTCCCACGGTCCCCCGTGGTTTTGCGGCTCCCACGGTCCCCCGTGGTCGGCTCCGCCCAAGCGAGGACGGGGCCAAGCACAACTCCCGTTGACAAGTGCGCCCATAACCCCCCAGGCCAACATGCCTGTAAACCTTCCCTAGGATCAATCGGGGATCACCACAGGACCTCTGACACCTCCCCGCACTGGGATGCCCGAAGTGCACACACCGGGATTCGAACCCGAGACCTTCGCTCTGATACCATGTCAGAATCCCAGCCACTAACCACTGGGATAAAAGGGCTTGTTTGTGTAGCGGGTAAGTGCGCCCATAACCCCCCAGGCCAACATGTCTGTAACCCTTCCCTAGGATCAATCGAGGATAACCAGTGGACCTCTGACAGCGGCAGGAGTGTTGGCGGGAGTGGTAGCGTCGATAGCGGCGGTGGAGGCGGTGGTGGCGGAGGTGGTGGCAGTGGCGGTGGCGACAGCGGAGGCAGCAGTGGTGGCAGCCGGGGCGGTGGTGGCGGTGGAGGTGGCGGTCAGGGTGGAGGCACGGGCGCTAGTCAGAGGCAGCAGCAGGAGTAGAGTTCCTAGACGACCCAGCAACTTCGTGAGTGTCTTGCTCAGCGTGGGAGGTATGGAGGTGGTGGTTGCTGCCCGTATGTTATTCGCACAGGTGACCGCAAGGGTCAGACATGCGGGAAGTTCCACACCCAGCACCGCTGCTTCTCCCGCCTTGACGACGCATCGCATGAGGAGATGGGCGAGGACACTGAGCGCCCTTGCTGGCAAGAGCTGCTTAGGGCTGGTGTAGAAATTTTTGCTCTTGACTATGATGCTATTATTTCTGCCATGTACGCATTGGAGGTTAGTGCTGATGGTGACAGTTACTTGTGTGTGTCGCCTGACCCCGGTATAGAGACTGGTACTCTAGGTGATGGTGAGGCTGCTGCCTTAGGTGCTAGTGAGTCTGTTCTCTCAGGTACTGCGCCTGCTGAGGCCTTGCACACCTTCACGCTTGACTCAGGTGCTTCCCGTGTTTCTTTCGTATGATGCTGGAGGGTACGCAAGGTCAGGACGTGTGCAGGTCATCAGGTACATGAGGCAGCCCACTAGCTCTGGGTACGGACGACTCGGCTCTACGGACTCGTCCGAAGGCAGAGCTGAGAGCGAGTGACCTGTAGCCAGAGGAGTGGCCTGTGCCGAGGACCAGGTAAAGCCGAAGCGCTGAAGGACCTGCTACACCATGTGTGACTGAGTCAGTGTGATGGTGCGGCATACTCTGTCCAGGGTGATCTGCAAGCCAAGGTAGCTGTACAGTTCACCTAGGTTTGTGCACGTGTGTCCTTTCTGCAGCTCCGACTTCACCAGGGCGAGAGCCTCAGTGTCAGCTGTGGCAAACACCAAGTCGTCGACGTACACGAGGATGTAGAACGGCGGCAACGAAGTGTCGGTGCGCAGAAACAGTGACGGGTCAGCAGTCGACGGAGCAAACCCAAGAGCCGCAAGTGTAGTCCTCAGTGTGTCGTGCCATTCATGCGGCGCTTGGCGGAGACCGTAGACTGGCCGCCGGAGGCTCCACTAAGTACCAGGAGGGAACAACCCAGTGAAGCCAGGCGGGCGGCGCAGCCAGATCTCCTCGTGCAGGCTGCCCTCTAAGAAAGGTGTGCTGAAGTCAAGAGCGTGAAGCTCGTAGTCACGCTGAGCGGCAACGTGCAGCAGCACCCGAAGAGTGGTCATCTTCGAGTTGGGAGAGAAGGTCTGGAAGAAGTCAACTCCCTCTCGCTGACTGAAGCCTCGAGCAACGTAACGAGCCTTGAAGACGGGCGGAGAACCTGGCGGCCGCTTCACCCTGAAAATCCACATGCCATCGACGATGTTCGCCCTAGGAGGGGGAACCTCGTCGACGTACATGCCTGTGGACTTCCAGGATACCATCTCTGCATCCATGGCTGTCTGCCACTGAGAGGAGTACTCACCCGCGATCGCCTCAGCGTAAGAGCGTGGGGTCGGGATGTCAGGAGCATCCGGGTCTCTCTCAGGGGCAAGTAGCATGGCCACAAGATGAGGCGCAGCGGCTGCAAGACACTCAAAGTCCTCCTGCCTGTCCTCAAGGACGTCCGTACCAAGAGCACACTCACCCCCGACGGACGGAGGACAAACAGACTCAGACTCAGCAACAAGAGTAGCGGCGTAGTCTAGACGACAGGCAACAGCGAAGTCAACAAGCTCAGCGACTAAGGCAGACGCAGCAGGAGACTTAAACGACGGATCAGTGACAACTGTGGCTAGTAGACGCGTGACAGTAGGGTGAGCAGCACGAGCGCGGTCAGACTCAGGCTCTAGAACGTCAGGCAGAGAAGACACAGGAGGAGACGGCAGAGGAACACGCTGCGGAGGAGAGGAAGGACGATAGACTACGAGGTGGGTGCCGGGGACAGTCGGCTGACGCAGACGAGGAACACGACGACCGGAACTACCACAACGGACAGGCGAGACAGGACGCGACGCAGGCTCACGACGCTCAGTAAGACCCCCTGTCTGCTCACTGTAAGGAGAAGTAGTAGGCAGTGGTGAGCCAGGCTGTAACGGAAGACCAGTAGACGAAGGGAGACTAAGAACCTGGTGAAGCACAGAGTCAGGCGGTGGCTGAGAGGACGGAGACGGTGGAGTGAAAAACAGGGGCGGTTGTACAGTGCCACCAGTAGCAGCAGCTCCAGTACCTCCAGCAGCTCCAGAACCCTCAGCGCCAGCTCCTCTAGGACCAACTCCACTAGCAGCAGCACCTCCAGAACCGGCACCTCCAGTCCCAGGGTCTCCAACCTCAGTGTCTCCAGCAGCAGCACCTCCAGCCCCAGCAGCTCCAGTACCTCCAGTACGAGCACCTCCGAGACCAGCACCACCTCCAGCTCCAGTGAAGTCAGCAGAAGTACCTCCAGCGGCAGAGCCCCGAGCTGCATAAGCGCAACCCTGACGGCGACCGTACCAGTCGTGCAGCTGCTGTACGGTAAGAGGCACATGCGGACGAAGGCGGCTACTCCAAGGAGACCGCGCAACAGCAGACTCAGAACCCTCAGGCGTCGCACCTCCAGCGCCAGCACCCGCAGCAGGTCCAGAACCTCCAGCTCCAGCGCCTCCAGCGCCAGCACCTCCAGCAGCTCCAAAACCTCCAGCACCAGCACCCGCAGCACCTCCAGAACCTCCAACTCCAGCGCCACCAGCGCCAGCACCTCCAACAGCGCCAAAACCTCCAGCGCCAGCACCCGCAGCAGCTCTAGAACCTCCAGCAGAAACAACTCCAGTAGCAGAGTCACCAGCTCCAGCGCCTCCCTCAGCAGGGCCCCTAGCTCCAGCAGCGCGACTCTGACGGCTAACGTACCACTCACGCAGCTGCTGTGGGGAGAGAGGGAGACGACAACGAGAGTGCAGTGGCGAGGCACCAGCAGAGCGACTACGGAGACGGCCACTCCAGGGAGACTGCTCACCAGACGCCGCAGCGCCCCCATGCGCAGCACCCCCAGACTCAGCACCCCCAGGCTCAGCACCCCCAGACTCCTCACGCCCACGCTCAGCACCTCAAGGCTCCGCACCCCCACGACCAACACCCCCAGGCTCCGCACCCCCAAGCTCAGCACCCCCACAAGCAGCACCCCAAGCAGGACCACCCCCAGGCTCAGCACCCCCAGCAGAACCTGAGTCACCAGTAACCTCAACCAGCGCAGTCAAGGGAGGAGGGTCGACCTGAGACACACCTGAAGGAGCAGGACCGGGAGCGGGGAGGGGGGCTACCTGAGGAGCACCTGGTGCGAGGAAGAGTGGCGGGGGGGGGAGAGGGGCAGTGCGGTAGGGGAAGAAACGGTAAAAGGGAACCGACTCGTCGAACGTGACGTCCTGAGAGGGGAAGACACGGCGCGAGGTGGGGTGGTAAAACTACCAACCAGGCGCGTCAGGGACAAAACCAAGGAAGACACAGGTAACAGCGCAAGCGGAGAGCTTGTCCGCGGTGGTATCACGGACACAGGCACGAGAACCCCAGACCTGAAACACCGACGCATCGCCAACCTCCCCCGTCCACCGAAGTGTGGGCGAGGTCTCCGGTAAGGAGACACGGGGCCAGAGGTTGAGCTGATGTGCGGCAGACTGCAAACGGCCACAGAAAATGGGGGGCAGCCGCATGGACCATGGAGGTACGAGCGACCTCTATGACCAAGCCAATGCGGCGCTCAGCAACCCCATTCTGCTGCAAAGAGGCCGGGAGCGTGAACGTCTGGCGAATGCCCTCCCCACGACAAAAGCTCTGCAGCAAGTTGGAGGAAAACTCCCCACTTCTGTCAAAGTGCAGACGCAGGACGGGAAACTCCATCCCGAACCGCTCGCGGGGCTGGAGACAGGCAGCGTAGATCCAAAGGATCAAAACATCAGGGACCTCCCCATTGGTACGCAAGGAGAAAACCGTGGTGTAACGCGAGTAGTCGTCAACAACCAGTAGGAAGTACCGCTCGTGGTCCTGCCCACTAATGCGGGCTGGGCCCCATATGTCCATGTGCAGGGTCTACAATGGAGCAGTTGTCGGGGGAAACGAGGAGGAGTGAGGAGCGGCGCGCTGCCGCCCCTCGACGCAGGGAAGACAGGGAGGAGCAGGTGAGGGAGGGAGGGGAGGGAGAACCCTGGGAAGAACAGAGACAAGGACACGGCGGTGCATGCTACAAAGGCGCTGCACCAAGGGGTGACCAAGACGGTTGTGCGAAAGGAGGGTCTGGTGCCACAAAGCGCGACACAAGTAAAAACCACTAGCAGACCTGACGCAGACGCGGACGCAGCGACCTGAGGTGACACAGTAGTCAGTGTGTACAGACTCAAGCAAGGCGCACGGGTAAACGTGGCCAGGTGCCGGCCCGTCCGGGAGCACGTACAGTGGGTCACGCACTGACCTCCAGGGGTGAGCTGGTCAACCTACTGGTCCTGGAGGTCAGCACCACTCACCAAGTTCGTAGAGAATGAGGGGAGGTGAAGACCTGACACGGAGCCAGACGGGACCGCGGACACGGCAAGACCGTGGAGGAGTGCGCAAGGACTGGACTGTGAAAATTGAAAGGAGAATTATTCAACTATGAAAGAGTTGGGTACAAGTACTAACCCAAATTGGGTTGTACCCCATGTGGGCTACCCCACTACAGCCTACACAAATAAGTAAGCTATTTGTTTGACACACCCCCATAGGCAAAATGGGGAGAACAAGGGGTCACAAGACCGGTCAAGCAAAACAAAGCAAAGCAAGCCCAGGGTAGATCACAAAGTCACCACACATTCCGAGCACAAGTTCAAGGCCATAAGGCCAGTTCACATGCAGGATTACATATATATATAAGGCTAGACAAGCAAGAGCAGGGATATATATATGTAACAGTACAAACAAGGTGAAGGGGTGAGCAAGTGAGGCAAGACAGGCACAAGACCCAGCTGAGTGCAGAAGCGCTGATGATCACAAGGCGGAAGTGCCTTGGTGAAAACATCAGCAGTGTTGGCCTCAGAGGCCACGTACGCAAGCCGCAACTGACCACGCTGCTGTAGCTCACGAGCAAGGAAGTAGCGGAGAGCAATGTGCTTCGTTCTGTGCTCCAGTCTCTGCTCTCGACACAAGGCCACCATGGCCTTGTTGTCTACGTACAGCACCGGAGGAGAACGAGGCGGCTCTCCGAGGTCAGTCAGCAGGTAGGTAAGCCAGCAAAGCTCCTGTGCAGCCATGGCCCCGGCGTAGATCTCAGCCTCACAACTGGAGCCGAGAACAGAAGACGAGCTAGTAGCCCGCCACGAAACAGAGCCGGAACCAAGGCTGAAGGTGTAACCCTGTGACGACTGCTGCGTAGCCTAGTCGTCTGCCCAAGAAGCGTCCACGTGCCCAGTGAGGACCACTGGACTCCGCCCTCCAAGCACTAGCCCCATGCCCGACGTACTGCACAAGTAGCGCAACACCCTCTTCGCAGCAGCCATGTGCTCTGGTCGGTGTCTCCCAGGAGCAACATAGCGTGCAAGAATGCTAAGAGGGTATGCAAGGTCAGGTCGTGTGCAGGTCATCAGGTACATGAGGAAGCCAACAAGCTCTGGGTACGGGCCACTCGACTCTACGGACTCATCCGAAGGCAGAGCTGAGAGCGAGTGGCGAGTAGACAGAGGAGTGGCCTGAGGCGAGGAGTACGTGAAGCCGAAGTGCTGAAGGACCTGCTGCACCATGTGTGACTGAGTCAGGGTAATGGTGCGGCGTGCTCTGTCCCGAGTGATCTGCAAGCCAAGGTAGCTGCGCAGTTCACCCAGGTCTGTGCACGTGTGTCTCTTCTGCAGCTCGCACTTCACGTGGGCGAGTCCAGCAGTGTCAGCTGTGGCAAAGACCAAGTCGTCGACGTACACGAGGATGTAGAACGGTAGCACAAAGAGAGTCCGACTCCGGGTCGGCAAGAGCAGGAAGAGAGGACTCAGGAGGAGAAGGCAAAGGGGCACGCAGAGGAGCAGTGGACGGACGCAGAGACATCCTGTGTGTGCCAGGGACAGGAGGAGGACGCGGACGCGAACCACGACCACTAGCGCGAGCAGCACGGAGAGGCGACGTAGGGCGAGACGCAGGCTCATGACGCTCAGCAAGACCCCCAGTAGGACCAGTGTAGGGGAAGGAACAGGCAAAGGGGAGGTAGGCTGCAACTGTAACTGTGACGGGACAGGCTGTGGATACTCTGAGGGAGGAGGAGGACCAGTAGAAGGTGGAAGACCAAGAACCTGCTGCAGGAGTGGAACGAAGTACGCTCGAGGCCGCGTGGCGACGCCAGAAACAGCAGGGACAGCACCATTACCTCCAGCAGGAGCACCCGCTCCAGCAGTACCTCCAGGAGCTCCAGAACCTCCAGCAGCACCAGAAGCACCCCCAGCAGGACCGCCAGTGGTAGTCTCGGCGCCAACACCCTTAGCAGCACCAGCTCAAGTCGAACCTGCAGGCCTAGCAGCTCCAGTACTCCCAGGACGAGCACCTCCGGGACCCGCGACAGATGCACCCTCAGTAGCCGACGAACCTCCAGCACCAGCAGCACGCTCCAGCGCCGGGCAAACCACTCACGCAGCTCCTGTGGAGAGAGTTGCTCCCGGCGAGACGAAGCACCCGGAGAACCTCCAGGCGGAGCACCTCTACGCTCAGCACCCCCAGGCTCAGCACCCCCAGGCTCAGCACCCCCAGGCTCAGCACCCCGAGGCGTAGCACCCCCAGGCTCAGCACCCCCTGGGAAAGTTCGAACGAGAATGAAATGACTATGAATGAAGTGAGTACAAATAGGAAACTCTAGTTGGGTTGTACCCCCTATGGGATACCCCACTATAGCCTACACAAATAAGTAAGCTATAATATTCTGACACACCCCCATAGGCAAAGTGGGGGAGAACAAGGGGTCACAAGACCAGTCAAGCAAAACAAAGCAAAGCTCAGGGTGGATCACAAAGTCACCACACATTCCGAGCACAAGTTCAAGGGCCACAAGGCCAGTTCACATGCAAGACCATATATAGAGATATACAAGAGTCAAGCAAGCAAGAGCAAGAGTATATATAGGTCGAGGTACAAGCAAGGTCAAGAAGTGAGCAAGTGAGGCAAGACAGGCACAAGACCCAACTGCGTGCAGCAACGCTGATGATCACAAGGCGCAAGTGCCTTGGTGAAGACATCAGCAGTGTTGGCCTCAGAGGCCACGTACGCAAGTTGCAACTGTCCACGCTGCTGTAGCTCACGAGCAAGAAAGTAGCGGAGAGCAATGTGCTTTGTCCTGTGCTCCAGTCGCTGCTCTCGACACAAGGCCAGCATGGCCTTGTTGTCTACGTACAGGACTGGAGGAGAACGAGGCGGCTCTCCAAGGTCGGTCAACAGGTAGGTGAGCCAGCGTAACTCCTGTGCAGCCATAGCCCCGGCGTAGATCTCAGCCTCACAACTGGAGCCGAGAACAGAAGACGAGCGGGTAGCCCGCCACGAAACAGAGCCGGAACCAAGGCTGAAGGTGTAACCCTGTGACGACCGCTGCGTAGCCTGGTCGTCAGCCCAAGAAGCGTCCGCGTGCCCAGTGAGGACCACTGGACTGCGCCCTCCAAGCACTAGCCCCATGCCCGACGTAATGCACAAGTAGCGCAACACCCTCTTCGCTGCAGCCATGTGCTCTGGTCGGTGTCTCCCAGGAGCAACATAGCGTGCAAGAATGCTAAGAGGTATGCAAGGTCAGGTCGTGTGCAGGTCATCAGGTACATGAGGCAGCCAACAAGCTCTGCATACGGGCCACTCGACTCTACGAACTCATCCGAAGGCAGAGCTGAGAGCGAGTGGCGAGTAGGCAGAGGAGTGGCCTGAGGCGAGGAGTACGTGAAGCCGAAGCGCTGAAGGACCTGCTGCACCATGTGTGACTGAGTCAGGGTAATGGTGCGGCGTGCTCTGTCTCGGGTGATCTGCAAGCCAAGGTAGCTGCGCAGTTCACCCAGGTCAGTGCATGTGTGTCTCTTCTGCAGCTCAAACTTCACGTAGGCGAGTCCAGCAGTTTCAGCTGTGGCAAAGACCAAGTCGTCGACGTACACGAGGATGTAGAACGGCGGCAGAGAGGTGTCGGTGCGCAGAAACAGCGACGGGTCGGCAGTAGAAGGAGCAAACCCAAGTGCCGCCAGCGTAGTCCTCAGTGTGTCGTGCCACTCACGTGGCGCCTGGCGGAGACCGTAGACTGGACGCCGGAGACTCCACTGGGTACCTGGAGGGAAAGACCCAGTGAAGCCAGGTGGGCGACGCAGCCAGATCTCCTCGTGCAGGCTGCCCTGCAAGAAAGCTGTGCTGAAGTCGAGAGAGTGCAGCTCGTAGTCACGGTGAGCAGCAACGTGCAGCAGTACCCGAAGAGTGGTCATCTTCGGGGTGGGGGAGAAGGTCTGAAAGTAGTCAACTCCCTGCCGCTTACTGAAGCCACGAGCCACGTAACGCGCCTTGAAGACAGGCGGAGAACCCGGCGGCCGCTTCACCCTGAAAATCCACATGCCATTGACGATGTTCGCCCCAGGAGGGGGGACAACGTCGACGTAGGTGCCTGTGGACTTCCAGGAAGCCATCTCTGCATCCATAGCTGCCTGTCACTGAGAGGAGTAGGGACCCTCTATCGCCTCCGCGTAAGAGCGCGGAGTCGGGATGTCTAGTGCATCCGGGTCTCCCTCAGGGGCTAGCAGTACAGACGCGAGATGAGGTGAAGCGGCGGTCAGACACTGGAACTCCTCCTGCCTGTCCTCAAGGACGTCCGTGCCAAGGGCACACTCACCCCCGACGAACGGAGGACAGGCAGACTCAGACTCAGCGACAAGACTAGCAGCGTAGTCTAGACGACAGCGCGCAGCAAAGTCGACGAGCTCAGTGACAAGGGCAGACGCAGCAGAAGACTCGAAAGAAGGGTCAGTGACAGCAGTAGCAAGGAGACGCGTGACAGTAGGACAGGCAGCACGAAGAGAGTCCGACTCCGGGTCGGCAAGAGTAGGAAGAGAGGAAGCAGGAGG